TGGAAAGGGAATTGGCGAGTTCACGCGATTGGAAAGGTGGGAATTTTGGGCGGTAACTTTGTGGAAGAAGGATTAAGAAAGTGGGAATTGTAAGTTAACTTAATCCGAAGAGATGGATTTGGGAAAGGGATTTCGTACCTGTAAACGAGATGGAGGAGGAGGAGGAGGAGGAGACAGAGAGAGAGTACCAGCGACGGTGCGTATCAGTGACGACAACGAGACCACCAACCAGTCTCCCTCTCTTCTTTTCCCGGAAGAATTTTTATTTTTTACTTTTATTTGTCAAAATTATTTTTAATTTTTGTTTGATGCAATCTAGGATTAGGATTGAACAAATGTATTTTAGCAATAATCTAACCTAATGTGAAAATGAATACCTTCAAACTATAGTATAAGTGGCGCTTATTTTTCTAAATGCGATATTTTTGTCTAAAAAATTATTGAGATTGGGAAGAGTTAGAATATCTAACTTATTCGACAAGAAAAATACATCACTTATAATCTCTAGCTTGTGCTATGTTATTTTTTTCTTTTAAACAAACAATATTATTTATAATAAATAGTGAAGATGAGGTTAAGCCTCACAATAGACAAACAATAATGTATTTCAAATTCATTTTTGACAAGAATCGAACACCTCTCACTTAATCATCATGATGAAATTTTATTGTTTTTTATAGAACAAAATGTTCGTCAATTTCTTTGAACTCAATTAGATGTCTCAAATTTTTTTAATTTGGCTAATATTTTACAAAGATGGTCTGTGAAATGCTACTTAAAAAATAAATTGTTTAGATTATTTAGGTTTGATGTAGTGTGAGCTTGACAATTACTCCCATTATTTGAAATAAAAAAATAAGAATCCCTTAACCCATTGGTTGGGTTGATTGGTGAATCCACCAAACTGCCTACCCCTGCATGTTGGGCCAGTTTTGAGTAAGAGTACAGTGAAATGGGCTCAGCAATTACTGGGTCCATATTGCTTGGTCTCTTTTAATGAGGCCCAATATATTCTGTAGATAGAACAAGTTAATAGACTTTGGCTTGTTTTATTAACATCCCATATTTTGTTGACTATACCCCACATACTTAATACACCCTATATCTACTTTTTAACTAAAAATTTATCTTAATACACCCCACTTATTTTCCAATACTACCCTTACACCCCACACCCCTCTACATACACCTCACACCCTACTTAAACCCTACAATCAAACTCTTCGTTAATTACATTATTCAAATAGTTTTTGATGTTTTGTTTTTCTGCAAAGAACTTGCTAGAGTTTTGGGGGAGAAGATAGTCATAGATTTCTCAAATATGTGGACCACGTTATGAGAAGAAGTATATGCCCACATTGTCTTTCTTGTTTATTTTATGTTTGAATATTTATGGGCAACTGTAGGATCAAAGAAGAAATTTTAATGTTACGATTCATGCCTGGTATCTAAAGCTCCACCCAAAAGTTCCCTTTGCATATCAATTAGAGATTTTAAATGATTTTCATGCAAAGGAAACTGTATGTCAATAGATGTATTTATGAAGAAATATATAAGCACGTGCATTTTTTTTTTATAATTCTAATAATACAAAAGTTGGAGATGACATTTTAGTTTCAAACTTACAGATGATATAGATGTTGGAACCAATGTCGAAGTTACAAATGATACAGATGTTGTAGTCAATACCCAAGTGACAGAGCTACGGACGACGTCAAAGCCTCCAAAACATTGATTTCATGTTTCATTCGTCAAAATTAACCTCTTTTTTCATTAACTATGTTGTGCTTTTAGTTAAGGTTTTGTTTTAGAATGGAGGTGAGAGTATCTTCAAGAGCTTGAAAGAAAACAATCTTAGAATACATATTGACAAATAGTTGGGGTGTATTCAGAAAATAATTATTGTTTTTTAATTCATATATGGCCTAAATAGTAATTGTATTAGGGCAAACAAGTTATTTAGTAATAAAATATGATATGAGGTTTATTCAACACTTAATAGGGTGCTAATAAAAAAAACCTAGACTTTTAATAAGGCCCCCATATTTTTTTTCAGGAGAAGCAACTTTTTCGCCTTTTTTTTATATTAATTTTGATAGAGAGAGTTGTGATGTGTGGAATTCAATAATTTCGAAACTCTTAATGGTCGTAATCCCCAAGTTAATAGACTTTTAAAGGAGTTTGACCTCACGCTTCAACGACCTGGGACCCCGACCAAACTACCCGATAACTCGTTCAAATCGTAACTTCATGTTCCCACACTCTTAACCTTTTTTCCACAAGTATCAGTAGATAAATATTCTACGCCTACAATATCATCATTGACGGTTATATGAATGAATGATTGTCATACCGTCGTACAATATAACTAATATATATTATGATATAAATAAACGATAAATTGTATATTTAGTAAGAGTTGTGAGATCCACACATTCAATTTTACGGCTCACATATCTCTTTCCTGCTGTCGAATTGAATGAATCGAAGAAGATCAACAAAATAAATTAACAAGAGTGTGAAAGAGATAAAAATGAGTATTTGAAAAGCAACGTGACAGTGTGACAATCGTAAGATATCTACAATTTTTGTCACCCTCACTAATCATGTCTTTCATATGAAAAAATATAAGGAAAACTAATGAAAATGACTTGAAAAGTTTTAGTTTTAATAAAAAAACCATGTTATAAGTTTTATTTAATGATTAGTACAATGCCCATATTAAAGTAATCCAACTAAAAATGGCCTAATTATAATAAATTATGATTTGTCGATTTTACCCCTAACTTTTTTAGGTTGAGTTCCAGATTTTCGTCGTTAATGGAGTTCATCGTTGTTTTGCAGACCTTCTTCTTTTTCTTTGAAACAAAAATATAGATCATCATGCTATTTAATTTATATTTTGTATTATTTTGTTGAAACGTGATCGTCATTATTATTCATAAAGTATTCGAGGTACTGTTTTTCAATTTTTCTTCGTTAATAGAGTTCATTGTTTTTTTATCCAGAAAATAAATTTGAGATCTGCATGTTATTCAACAATAACGATGGGTCACTGTTTATGGACAGTAAAAATAAACTGCTTCTGGATTTGAAGTAACACTGTTTCTGAAATCTAAGTCACTGTTTCTGGATCCAAATGAAATAGACACACTGTTTCTTAAATGTAAGCTATAAAATAAATAATGAAATTCATTGTATTTAGATTCAAAGCAAAATAAGCATCATGTTTCTTAAATATAATCAACTAATGCATGAAAAAAAAAGAAACAATCAAAGGTTAAAATATAAACTGATTCTGGAATTTAAGTCACTGTTTATGGAATTTGAGTCACTGTTTCTGGAATTTAAGTCACTGTTTCTAGATTTTGGTTCTTTTCTTCTAGATATAGTGTTTGTTTGTGCACAGAAAAAACAAACACCGTATCTGATTTTTTTCTTCAGAAATAGTGTTATGTTTTGGGTTCTCCAGAAACAATTTTATGTTTTGGTTTTTTTTTTTCCTATTTACAAACGCTTGACATGTACGTACATCACTGGGACCGTAGGTCCTTATTGGATCTGATTGGAATAAAATACTAACACTATAAATTGTTCGCGGTGCAGATAAGAAGATGAGGACGATGACGAGGAAGAGGAGGAAAAAGGCATGAAAAAGGTAGACAATAGTTTTTTTTATGGTTTTTTATTAAATTTTGAGCCCTTTTGGTAAATAACATTTTAGGATGATTTTTGGTTAAATATTTGTTGACCCAAACTCTTTTCATTAAAGCTCCCAAAAATATAATGTAAATCCGACGTAGTGTTGTGCTTTCACACAAGGGAAAAACGTCACTATTCCGTCCTACATATTTTACCTTTTTAGGTCAGTGTACTAGAATCAAATTATCAATCATAATCCCAAGTAGAATAATGAAATTAACTTTTAAAATCGTGACACATTCTGATTTATTATACAATTTCACAGGGTTTAGCAAAATTAGGTGGCACTTCCACATGTATCCTAGTTCAAACAGCTAGTAATTAATTTAGTAAATTAAGACAACGACACTAGAATCCTGCCCATTCCCCAATTATAATAATTTAATTTCAAGTTCCAAAAGGAAAAAGTGAATAAAAGAGTAGTTGGTGGCTGGGAAGAGTTGGGACGGTAATGATCCGTCTCCTAAGTTTGAGTAATTTTACTTTTTAAAACAATGTTATATTTACATCTTTTTAAACCGTCCTGGCAGTCTATTTTTTGGGAGATCAAGACAAGCATTTCAATCTCTTCTCATCATCATCGTATGATTCATCAGCGTCAGTAATCAAATTCAAAACGCTTCATGCGGAATACGAGTCTGAAATTCGTCTCTACAATTGAATAATCCAGTTTACATTATATGAAGAGAATAAATCGAGCCCACCGTACACAAACTAATAAATTCGAATAAAATAGAACATCAATTTGTCTAAAATAAAAAGAAAAAAAAAGTTGACTGACCTTATCCGGTTTCCTTGCTGGTCAGGTTATGTAAATACATGTAGTTCATACATTATGCGTTACTTCTTTGCAAAAGAAAATTTTATTCTTATTTATTAAGAATCGGACTCTGATATATATATATATATATATATATATATATGTGTGTGTGTGTGTGTGTGTACATAGTTCATCTATCAGAAATCAGAACCTTGGTTTTCATTCATTCTTCCACGAACTGCCTCGGAGTCTCTTGATGGGCTTCCTGCAGCTAACTTGATACTTGACTGTAGGTTTTGGTGGAAAATTAAAAGTAAACGATAATTTTCTTTACGTCGATTTTTTCAATGATCTAAATGGTCGGCGTTTGTTTGAATAAGTCCCCTTTTGTTGCCTAATGATACTAATGTTTTTGGTCTTTGTTTATTTCTTTTGATTATTCTCCCTAGGGGATTTTCGCGCTACATTCTCGTCCTTACAGTTTCTTTACATATGTACTTTATAAAGTTGTGGAATTTTTAAGCATTACTCAGTTTTCAGTTTTCAGAAAGAAAGAAAAAAGAAAAAAAAAATTAACAAAGAGATAGCAGCTTTACACAATTATTGGTAAAATAGAAGCCTTTTTTTCTTTTTACGAGGCTATTATATTAATGTCAGGGTCCTCATGGTTTTTTATTCATGTATATCTATATATACATATGCAGGTTGACATTTGAACTACTGCCTCAGCTTTGGAGGAAGAAAGAAGAATACAGAGTTCGCTGTATTATTCAAAAGGGTTTTTCGTTTTGCAGATTATACTACTTTCTGATGGGAGGAAAAAGCTCGAAAGATTGGAGTGAGAGACAGTTTTCGCACAGCGGATCAACTGCTTCTTCTTCATGGAACCAACATGGCTACTCAGAACCACACCCTCCACAAAACCTGTATCATACAGTACCACAGCATCGGTACACTCCTTCGCCATCTTTTAACGGTGTGTCTCGGCCAGTTAGAGTTCCCCAGCAACGACGTAGTTGGCATAAAAGTTACTCAAGGATAGCTGATAATTACTGTTCCTTGGATGAGGTGTTTGTTCTGCCCTGCTTTCAACATATTCATATATAAACGACGGTTTAGTGTCCCTTGTTTGTTCATTTCTATTTTTTTTTACTAAAAGCTTGTAACCAGTTTTATTGCGTTATTAATTTTTCCCGAATAATAATTGATGACAGGTTACTTCTGCTCTTGCACAAGCTGGCCTAGAGTCTTCTAATCTGATTGTTGGTATTGACTTCACAAAGAGCAATGAGTGGACAGGTTAGTGTTGTCTTAATTCAAAGAAATTCTTTGGTCACATAACATCATTTGAAGGAATGCAATATGCTTAAGCTTTGTTTCCACCTTTCTTGTTAACAGGTTCGATGTCATTTAAACGAAAAAGCTTGCATCACATTGGAAATACTCAAAATCCCTACGAACAAGCGATCTCAATTATCGGGAAAACATTATCCGTCTTTGATGAAGATAACCTAATTCCATGCTTTGGATTTGGAGATGGTAAACAAATCATTGTCTTCTGCATTATTTCTATGTGGAACTACCATTTGGATGATGTGAATGACAACTTTCATGTATATTCCTGTAGCATCTACACGTGATCAAGATGTCTTCAGCTTCTATGAGGATGAGCAACACTGTAATGGATTTGAGGAAGTATTGACGCGATACAGAGATATCGTTCCCCATCTTCGACTTGCAGGTACTGCAGCCTCTAGTCATTACAGGGGCTTTCCCAAATATGCTTCAATATTTGGTTCGTCTGAATTTTTGGTTCCTTGTTGCAGGACCTACTTCTTTTGCCCCCATTATTGAGATGGCGATGACTATCGTTGAGCAAAGCGGAGGCCAGTACCATGTTTTACTGATCATTGCCGATGGGCAGGTAATTTGGTTTTAACCTATTTCATTACAAGATGAATTCCCAGAGAAAATGAGCAAGATTATCAAGAAACCAATCTGCAGCATGTTTCTTTGTTAAAATAATGGACCATCTTTTCCTATCCTAGGTGACAAGAAGTGTCAATACACAACGTGGTCATCTGAGCTCACAAGAACAAGGGACAGTTGATGCAATTGTAAAAGCAAGGTAAATTTTCACAGAAACACATTATTTTACACGCTTCAGCGAATATTTTGTACTTTGTTTTTATTTGGTTTCTGACCTTGTTTGTTTGTAGCGAGTACCCATTGTCTATAGTCTTGGTGGGAATCGGAGATGGCCCTTGGGACACGATGAGGGAATTCGACGACAATATTCCTGCTCGAGCATTTGATAATTTTCAGGTGATCAGACACATTTCAATATCAATTAGTTCTCCAAAACATCGTTGGCTAGAAGTTTGCTTACTTGATTCTGAATGAACCGGTTTTCTTTACCTATGCAGTTTGTGAATTTTATGGAAATCATGTCGAAGAATGTGAATCTATCCAGAAAGCAGACAGAGTTTTCTCTTGCAGCCTTGATGGAAATACCTTCTCAATACAAAGCAACCCTAGAGCTTGGAATATTGGGGTAAAAACTTGCAGCTTAATATTTTAACTTATACCAGTTACGCCGGAGCATTTTAATAACATGAAAATCATTTGCCTGAAAAAGCAGAGGACGCAGTGGGAATTGTCCAAATAGGGTTCCCCTTCCCCCACCCCACAATGTTGCAGTCTCAGTAGGCAGCAACACGAGGCAGTTCGGCTCGAGCGATAGTTTTCAGCAGAGGTCGACTCCTTATGCTGGATATAATACAGGAGGTAGCACACCTTCTCATACAAGATATGCTCGATATAATGCAGAAGCCAGCACACCTCCTTACACAGGATATGATAGTCAGGTATCAAATATGTTTCCATGAAATCATGTTCACGTTTTGGGAATGTTTATGTAGGAAGCACTACTGTTCGTAAACGTTTTTGTTGGAATTTTTTTGTAAAAACTTAAAAGCACGACAAAACGTTTACTAAAATTCAAGTGTTTTCTAGCGCTTTTCCAAAAAGCTCCTACTCTTTTAAATTTGCAATTTGTTTACTTTCTCCTCTGTATACCATTCAACTTATTCTCATTTTTTGTACAGGTTTGCCCTATTTGTCTTACTAATCCAAAGGACATGGCCTTTGGTTGTGGGCACCAGGTAGACCATTTCCTTTGTGAATCCAATCTTTCAGGACCTTGATCTATCCATGCAAGTTACAAGTAAACCGTTGCACTGACATTCTAGACTTTTCTTCTTTTGCCTTCGTTTTTGTCTGGCAGACTTGTTGTGACTGCGGAAAGGACCTTGAATCGTGCCCGATTTGCCGGAGCAATATCCAAACCAGAATAAGACTCTACTAGTCATGTATTTGATGGACATCTCTGAGATTTGTAATCTGGATCAAATGTTCAGTTGTATATACTCCGGGCGTGGCGTCATCTATCAGGAGTTTTCTAATGTATAGGGTTTGAACCGGAAACTTATGTGATGTGCAGGAGCTGACAACCTCAGTTGATTTGTGTTCTTGCACCTGGAAGCCTCTGTGTGTATGAACCGATTGATTCGCCATGCTTGATGGCCTTGTTTATATGGGGAACTTCAGGTTTTGTAGTATGTATGACGGTAATTTTGAGATCCGAAAGAGATTGAGCGTTTGATACTTAATGTTGAATCTCTGCAATATTTTTCCTAATTAATGATTAGATGACAGTGGTGAGATACCATGGATGTTTGGAGACGGTTTTCTAGTATGCATTGGTGTATAGTATAACCAAGATCGTTGGCCACACATCCAACCCCCATTCATTCATGTGATTGGGTTCATCTTCAAACCTAATTCTTTTAGTGCTGGAATGAAATGTTCCGAAATGATGGTCAGCGTCATCCCAAGATTTCCGGGATGTGGAGGAGGCGGCTGTCCTTTTTTATTTTTTCTTGGCTCAGAACAAGATGGGGTAGCCATCAGTAAAGGAGTCAATTCAGAAACACCCAAATTCAAATCCCTGATTGAAATCCTGTTCAAAATTCGCAGAATGTTGCGGCAAATCATGCTTTCCTTCGTCTAAATTCACGTTTCCCTATACACTTTTCATAACTACCAAGAATACAAATAGCTTGACTTATAGCATGTATGATGGCAAAACATTCTTGAACAGATTCTCCAGGAATCACAGAAGACAGTAAACCTAGAACACATAAAAATACAATCAGTAGCGGCACCCGCCGTGCAAACAATGATTTGAATGCTGGTAATCAACTTCAGGAACGTAAGTATCTGATTCCAAAGAGCCCAACAGGGTCCTACATCAGGCTCACGATCGAATTCTTTGTCCTATATGCCTCGATTTCTGCAATGACCGAGTTCAGATTTGACTCTTGTCGTTCTTTTAGTGCCTTCAGGAGGTTGTCTGAGATGATATTCAGCATCTTCCGATTTTTCTCCTATTTCTTTTTCTACAAAGATTGTTAACTTCTGTAACAACTTACATATAGGAATGTTGTAAGCGCAAGAGCAGCGTATCTGTTGGCAGGGAGAGCATTTAAAAACCTCGCCAGCCATGCACAACCTTCTTTTGGGCCTGCGCATTTTGGACCCTAGAAATTTCCGTCTGCAAAATCATTTCCGAGTTAGATGCTAAGCAAATATTGTTGGGAAAAAAATTTAGAGTACACAACTCTAACACAAGTGTTGAAGAGACAACACAAGTAAACAAATTACTTGTATTACACATACAAAATATTACAACACTCAAAACTCTCAAAGACACTTTTAGAAGCAATGTCACCCACTCACTTTCTAGAGACAAACTATAGACCACTCACACTCCTCACAAGACTACTCTTAGTTCTCACTCACTTGGTTGGTTGGTTCTTCTTGATTACTTACCAACACACATGCATACATATTTATAGTTGATATTTACCGACTTACTAAGTTGGTTAACATGGCTCATTTCATCCTAGCATTATTCTAGGCTTTTATATAATTAGCCCACCGACATGGGTTTTGCATGACAACCTCACAATTGTACAAATAGCCAGATCTTTCTAGCTAGTGATCCACCAACATGCTTGCTAGAGCTTTCTAGCAAAACCCCATGTATAATTCATCTAGAACATCAAAACTTCATAATGGGTTGGACTTTAAGTTATGGGCTGGTGTTGTACTTTCAACACTCCCCCTCAACACCAGCTCATTCTTTCCTCCATGCTGAGTTGACGACGAAACTTTTCAAACTTGCCGGTACTCAAACCTTTAGTGAACAAGTCCGCAACTTGTTCATCTATATTGATTTATCTCATCTCAATCTCTTCTTGCAAGACCTTCTCTCTAATGAAATGATAGTGTACCTCCACATGTTTAGTTCTTGCATGGAAGACTGGATTTTTAGCCAAGCGAATTGCCAATTGGTTATCATAGTACAATGGTACTAGATAATCTACTGGTTGATATAGATCACTCATCAACAGTACCAGCCATGCATTCTCTTGAGTTGCCATTGCTGCTGCTCTATACTCTGCTTTTGTGGTTGACAAAGACACCGTTTGTTGTCTTTTGCTGCACCACGAAATTACTCCAGAACCAATTCTAAAGACATACCCAGTGGTCGATCTCCTGGTGTCAGATCTCCTGCAAAATCTGCGTCACAATAGCCAACCAACTTACCGTCTTCACCTTTCTTGTATAAGAGACCATAGTCAATTGTACTCTTTACATATCTCAATATTCATCGAATCGCTTCTAGATGAGGCTTCTTTGGATTTTGCATGTATCGACTCATCACACCAACTGCATAAGAAATGTCAGGTCGAGTCAGAGTCAAATAGATCAGACTACCTACCAATTGTCGATACATTGATGCATCTTCTAAGTCTCTACCTTCATGTGCACACATCTTGGCATTAGGTTCAATTGGTGTCGAGATTGTTTGCATTCAAGCATCCCAAACTTCTGCAACAAGTCTTTTGCATACTTTTGCTGACACAAAAATATCCTTTCTTGTGTGCGATCAACCTCTAATCCAAGAAAGTGCTTGAGTTGTCCAAGTTCTTTCATCTTGAACCGAACTGCCAAATTCTCTTTTGTTTGATGAACTTCTGCCTCATCATCGCCTGTGATGATTAGGTTATCCACGTACACCAGTACGCCAACTAACTTCCTCTATTAGCTTTAATGAACAAGCTGGAGTCTGCATGCGCCACTAAGTAACCATTTTGTGTGAGAAACTCTGCAATATTACCATACAACGCTTTTGGTGCTTGTTTCAGACCATATAGTGCTTTCCTTAACTTGCACACATACTCGGGATGAGCTTTGCTTTCAAAGCCCATTGGCTGCATCATGTAGATCTCCCGATCTAACTCTCAATGCAAGAAAGCATTCTTCACATCCATCTGGTATAGATTCTAATCTTTGTTAACTGCAAGTGCAAGTAGGACTTGTACAGTTGTAATCTTTGCTACTAGACTAAACGTTTCATCAGAGTCTAGTCTATACTGCTGAGAGAAGCCTCGAGCCACCAACCAAGCCTTGTACCTTTCAACTGAACCATCAGGACGATGTTTTACCTTGTACACCCATTTGCAGGATATGGGTTTCACATCCCTTGGCTTTGGCACCAAATCCCAAGTCCGATTCTAGTTAAGCGCAATGATTTCTTGTTCTATAGCTCCTATCCATTCAGAACTTTGTGATGCATCTTCAAACGTCTCAGGTTCTTTTACTGCTTCATCAACTATAGCAGCATTGCCATATTTAGGATTTGGCTTTTGTACTTTTGTTGACCTCCTCAATTGTGATTATGGAGTTTGTTGATGCACAAAACCAGATGGTCTTGGTACAACGTAAATCCGACCGTGAATCTGCATGAAATGTAAATGACACAAGAGTTATCGTGGTTCACCCCAAGGTTTGGGCTACGTCCACACTGATTGTATTGTATTTCTCTGTTGAAGAGGGAGAGAGAGAGCTTAGAGCTTAGGGGGTGTGAGGAAGCTTCGGGTTTGTGAGGGTGAGGATGCCCTTTTATAGAATAAGGGCTCCTCCCCTAATTACATATTTGCCCCTTCCTTTATTACATAATTACATTTAAGTCCTCTGAGTATTTATACGAGGCCCTAAATATGGTATAAACAGTAGTCCCCCAAGTCTTCAGTCAAGAGAGTCTTTTGGTTGGATACTTGAAATTCAGTCCATGTGTGGGCCGAAGTAACTAGATGTTGTCTTGAACTGATGCTCGATATGAGGCGGTGCTCAAAGTGAAATGATGCTCAACTATAAGTAGCACATGTTGCGAGGCTGCTCGGCTTGTGGCTTATGTTGCTTTGGTTGGCTCGGCTTGTGGCGCTTGAAGGTGAGGGGGTCCCTTTTATAGAATAAGGGTTCGCTCCTCAATACATAAATGATGGGTTAGGAGTGATGCTCACAGCGATGCGGTTGCTCAGTAGGCGGCGATGCTCTCTAATGATGGTGAGCGAGTCCCTTTTATAGAATAAGGGCTGGCCCCTTCATACATAAGTAATGGGCTAAGTCCCCCGAGTATTTTTTCATGAGGCCCAGTTGAGGCCCAATATATGGTGTATAGTGTAGTCCCCCAAGTCTTCGGTCAATAGAGTCTGTTAGCTGGAGACTTCAAATTGAATCCATGTATGGGCCGAAGTGGCGGTTGTTAGGAGACGGTATTTGTATACCCTGCACTGAAGCTTTGTAGGTGAAGCTTTGCAGGTGAAGCTTTGCAAGTGAAGCTTTGAAGCTAGAGTTCTGTAAATGAAGCTTTCAAAGTTGGAGCTTTTGTAAATGAAGCTTTGGAAGTTGATTGACATAAGTGATGCTCATGATTGTTTATGTTGATTGACATGAGTGATGCTTATGAATGTTTATGTATGATTGTCATGAGTGATGCTCATGAATGTTTATGTATGAATGACATGAGTAATGCTCATGTATAATTTGAAGTATTAGGCGTACTTTTGATCACCTGGTTGGTGGCATGAAGGAGAGTATGGGTTGTACATTTCATCACTTGGTTGGTAGCATGAATGACTAGTTGCCAAATTAGAGTACGGGTTGTACAACTCATCACCTGATTGGTGGCATGAATGGCTAGTTGCCAAAATTAGAGTACGTGTTATACATCTCATCACCTGGTTGGTGGCATGAATGGCTAGTTGCCAAAATTAGAGTACGTGTTAGGGCTGGGTTCGGTTCTTATCGGTTCGGTTTTTTGTCAAAACCAAAACCAAACCGAAATTTCGGTTCGGTTCGGTTCGGCCCATATTTTTTTCGGTTTTTTCGGTTCGGGTTCGGTTTTTTTTCGTTTTTTTTTTTTTTTTTTTTTTTTTTTTTTTTTCCTCCAAGAAAGTCTTGGAAATCAACATAAGCACAAGAACTAACAAATTAGAATCAAGGCAGATATGGATTATTTTACGTCAATGGGACAATCCCATTCAAATATGCAACTAAAAGAAGAAAAAAGTCGAAGTGTCCGAATAGAATATTGGGCTCAACAACTGTAAAACCCACAGAAGCAGCTTCTGCATCATTAACATATCTATCTTAACAATGGCATTATTCAAAACTTCAGCTGCTTTTCTCACACATTGCAGGGAGGCCAACTTACAACCACACCAAGGAAAGGCCAAGAGCATCTAAGAGAGGCAAGAGTATGCCAAAGCTTTCTCCTCACTGAGCTCCTCTGCAGTTGCATCCAACTTCTTCCTCGAGAACTCGTCAATAGAGAGTCCTATACAATTGTGAAACAAATGTGTATTAGAACTTTGAATGTTCACATTCTATTCAATTGTTAAGAAATGCAGAGACTACAGACTCTTACCTTGAACAATCTTCCACCAATTGAACTATTTTCATATCCACCAATTGAACTATTTTCATATCCGTCAATTCACATAAAGTCCGGGATAAGCTTCCCAAGAAGAGCTATATTTTATTTTCACTCATCGCCTCTAAAATTTCCATCACAAAAGGTAAAATTCTCAATGTACTCTGATTGAATTATATCTTTATGCATAAATACACGCACACAAAGAGCGTTAGAAGTAAAATGGATGTGACTAACAGGCACAAACAAAGCAACTAAAATTTCACCGAAACAAAATCAATTTTTGTCATAAAATTAATCACCAGCAGAGAACACTAAGCAAAACCGAGCACGAGCATATATCCAGCGAAAGATAAACAATTATCTCACAATTGATGTCAACATTCCCAATCAGTTACACACAAAATTATGAAGCATTTCACTGTTAAGTTCTATATAGCTAAAAGCACATAAATGCGAGACCTGCAATCGCTTTCCAATGGCAACAAACGGCTGCACATCTCCTCGTGTGCCGACGATAAGCATTACAATTTGCAGAGGAGGTATATCTTGAACTTCAGTTTCCGTCTCGCTGCCAGCTTCTCCACCAAAAGCTGCTTCACTGTGAGAGATTGAGAGTGAGAAGGGTCGCGTCGTCGCGGGTCGCCTGGGATTCAAAACCAAGAGAGACAGAGAGTTTGAGAAAGACAGAGAGGAGGCTCGGCTGCGCGAGAATGTTACTGGGTTAGTTAGGGTTACACTGGAGGCAGGGAAGGGAACGAGAGAGAGAATAGGGGAATGAATAAAAGGTGTGGCTGCTAGGGTTAACTTAAAGGGGATTTCTCAAAAAAATTAAAAACGTTTCTGAAATGTTGGAGGCATGAGGGTTCGAACCCTTCCGCTGCAACTTGAAAATTTTCCCTGAAACCAACTTGGCAACAGGTTTTGTTTTGTTATGATTGTATGAATAAACTATTTATAATATTGAAAAAAATAATTAAATATATATAATTCGGTTCGGTTCGGTTTGGTTCGGTTTTCGAACCTCAAAAACCGAAACCGAACTGACCAGATTCGGTTCGGTTCGGTTTGACAGTTTCGGTTCGGTTTTTTTTCGGTTCGGTTTTTTTCGGCCTCGGTCCGGTTTGGTTTTCGATTTTTTTCGGTTTTCGGTTTTTTGAACCCACCCCTACGTGTTGTACATCTCATCACCTGGTTGGTGGCATGAATGGCTAGTTGCCAAATTAGAGTACGGGTTGTACATTTCATCACCTGGTTGGTGACATGAATGGCTAGTTGCCAAATGATATTAGAGTACGGGTTGTACATTTCATCACCTGGTTGGTGGTAATAGCGGCGGGTTGCCGAATAATTGTGGAGTACTGGGCGTACTTTTGATGGCCTGGTTGGTGTTATTTTGGGCTTATGGGCCTTCGCCCTTCACAACATTCCAGCCCATTTATTTTGGGCTTTGCCGTTTTTTTTTTTTTTTTTTTTTTTTACCCTCTGATGGGGTTTATACAAATATCTCCGAAAGATAAGAAAAATAAATTACATCATTCAAAAATAAAGAAAGTAAGCCACATCATTCTGATGGGGTGTTTATTCCTTGCTTTTACTTTCTCTTTTACTTTCTCTTTTCCTGATGCTTTTCTTGATCTCCCCGCTCCTTCTCTGTCCACCTTGATTTGTAAGGTATCTTTTGCCAAACCCACTTGCTTTGGTCGTGCCCATCCATTATCTCTGTCTCTGGCTTTTCCTTTTTCTATTTTGCTTTGCTTTTGTTGTCTTTTAGAAGATGGTAGACAATAATAGCATAATTAATAATAGAAAACTTATCTTATTTTCTCTTTTCCTTTTCTGCTTTTCTTTCTCTTTCCTTGCGCTGCTTTGTTTTGCTTTTACTTTCTTTTTCCTTTTCTGCTTTTCTTTCTGATATTCTTTCTGTTTCTTGACCCGTTGATTGAAGTGGGATGGGATCAAGAACGATGGAGCGGATGGACATCTTGGCAATTTTCGAAACAGCGGCGTCACGTACGGCAGCAATGTCGCTGCTCAAATGTTTGAACTCCGCCTCGAAAGCCTCCTGCCAAAAACGCAGCAGTTGACTCGTGCTGGTGTGGCTACTCTGCATGTACAAATCCCACATGTGCCTGCATGCACCCTCATAACATAAGGGATCAGCTTTGATAGCAGCTTTATACCACTGTCGGGCCTGGACGCTTGCCTACAGCAACTTGCACCGACTAGGATGTGCACCGACTCGATTGAAATATCTCAGCAATATGATTTTCCAGTCAGAGTCTGAGCGGTAAATATCTCGAGCAATTTCTTCAATGAAAAGCTTCGTTTCGTCCACAAGGATTTGCTGCAGCAAATGGGAAGTCCTCTGTACATGGGACCACCTTCGACCAACCATAAACACAAGCTTTTTGCATCCATGGGCAGCCATGACTTCCAACAGAGTAATTGTCAACCTTAATGCCAGGAAGGACACCGTCTTCCTTCAAAACATCAACGAGCGGCTTACCAGCAGCTGTCTTCTAGTAGAGGGTTTCCTCAAAGAGGATGACTCCACTGAGGTATTTGAGGGCACCGGGAGTGGTGAAAAGCAGCTCACGGAGAGAGCGCGCCTGTTTGTCTCAGTATTCTCAACGCCAATGCTGGAAAGACGCTTGCCAATCGTGCCAGTTGACTCATCGACAGCAAGGATACCCTTTCCCGGGGTACCAATGTAGGCAGCATTAGCAATGAGCTCATCTTGTGGAGATGGAAAGACGTTTCTCCAACGTCAACTATGACGTCACTAGCAAGTCCAGTTGAGCAAAGCCAAGTTTTTCCATCAAGGAATGAGACTTCAGATTTGGATCCCAGCTTCACGCACGCCATGTTCGATTTCAGATTTGGATCCCAGCTTTTCAGTCTTGGATTTCAGCTTCAAGCACTCCTGCTTCGACGAACTGGCCTCGTCGGCGGCCTTCGTGACCTGGTCAGTGATCTGGATTGGTTTCGCCAAGATTTTCTTCACTGTGTCCGCTATGGCTCTCCCTCTTAGGCTCGCGGTTGGACCCAAACCATCTCCGAGCCTCGAAACCGCTGCTGGACACAGTGGATTGGCGCACATGCAGAGACAGAGAGCTTGTTTTCTTCTGGAATTTGGACTTTGGGGATGGTTCAGGAATTTAGACAGGTTTGAATCCGTGTAGGTCTTGAAGGCTCTACAAGACAGAGAAATGAGAGATTTGATTCCTTGGTTTTTTTTTTTTTTTTTTTTTTTCAAAACAGAGATATGGGCTTTTCTGGGTATCTCAGGATTTTTTAGAGAGAGAGAGTGGTGTTCTTGGTTTTTTGTGATTTTTGCAGATTCACGGTGAAGGTGAAAAAATGAAAGAGAACCGACACAACTTTTCATATCGATTCCCACAGACGGCGCCAAATGTTGATGCACAAAACCGGATGGTCTTGGTACAACGTAAATCCGACCGTGAATCTGCATGAAATGTAAATGACACAAGAGTTATCGTGGTTCACCCCAAGGTTGGGCTACGTCCACACTGATTGTATTGTATTTCTCTGTTGAAGAGGGAGAGAGAGAGCTTAGAGCTTAGGGGGTGTGAGGAAGCTTCGGGTTTGTGAGGGTGAGGATGCCCTTTTATAGAATAAGGGCTCCTCCCCTAATTACATATTTGCCCCTTCCTTTATTACATAATTACATTTAAGTCCTCTGAGTATTTATACGAGGTCTAAATACGAGGCCCTAAATATGGTATAAACAGAGTTGATTATTCCACTTCACTAGGTCTAACTTCTCCTGGTTGTTGCTACTTCTTGCTTTACATCGTCTCCAGCAAGCAAATCTTCAGACTTATCTGGACTTGATTGGATTTGGGCAGCTTGGTCTCCCAGTTTCCCCTGCAACGTATCTTCAATCTCTTTTGAATCGTGCAACGCCTCATTTTCTAAGCACCAACAAGATGATGCTTCTGTGTCTCATTCTTCCTCCAAAGCTAGAGATGCTACGGGGTCCCAGTTATCTTCACTTTTCTTTTCTGAGTTAGTGATGTTACTCTCTGCGGGTTTTTTGAACCAACACTCATTCACCATATGGCCCTTCTTTCCACAATTGTAACATTTTCCCTCAAACTTTTTATTGTTCTGAGACTGACCACGGTTGCCGTGATATGTTGGAACTCTCCTTCGCTGAGAACTCCCTTCCTTCCGGTGACCTTTCTCCTTGTCACCATTTCTTTTTTATCCTTCATCAGCATGCTGCTTCAAACTACCTTTACTTTTGGTGTATAGTGCTTCCTTCTTACCTCTTAACGAGACCCCTCCAATTTGCTTTGCCAAAGCTTCTTGATCGACAAGCAAATTCTCAAACTCAACAAGTGATGGTTGGGTCGGCCATCCTTGTACAACGGCAACGAAGCCTTGATATTCGGGTCTCAATCCATGCATAATTATTCTTTTTATCCTGGATTCTACAATGGCAGCAGTAGGATCTAACTCAGAAATTTCACAGCAAATAGACTTTACTTTGTGGAAATACTGGGCAATCGTCATGTTCCCTTGGGCCACCGATAATAGCTTATTCTTAAGAAGCTGCAGTCTTGTATCGTTCCTCTTTGAAAAGAGTGTGGCGAAGGTATCCCACGCTTCTTTTGGTGTTTTGACCTTCTGTATGTGCTCCAACATGTCATCTTCAACTATGGGTTTTAAGGCAAACATGGCCTTACCTACCTTGATCTTCTAGTTCCTCAAAATGCCACTAGTGTCTTCTTCTCGCTGCGTAACTTCATTACTACCGATGACATCCCAAAGATCTTGGCCTTGTAGGTAAGACTCCATACACGTCGCCCATGTGTTGTAATTTTTGTTGTTCAACTTTTTTATTCCACAACTTGAAGATCTCCCATCCTGTCAGCAGAACTTCGACAAGCCGAACAAGATTAGCCAACAATCTTGCAAAGTACTAAACTTCTCACGATTCTTGGAAGCTTCACTAGAGACGGTCCCTAATCGTACCGCTCTGATACCAATTGTTGGGAAAAATTTAAAGTACACAACTCTAACACAAATGTTGGAGAGACAACACAAGTAAACAAATTACTTGTATTACACACACTCAAAACTTTCAAAGACACTGTAGAAGCAATGACACTCACTTTCTAGAGACAAACTCTAAATCACTCACACTCCTCACAAGACTACTTTTAGTTCTCACTCTCACTTGGTTGGTTGGTTCTTCTTGATTGCTTACCAACACACATGCATACATATTTATAGTTGATATTTACCAACTTACTAAGTTGGTTAACATGGCTCATTTCATCCTAGCATTATTCTAGGCTTTTCTACAATCAGCCCATCGACATGGGCTTTGCATGACAACCTCACAATTGTACAAATAGCTAGATCTTTCTAGCTAGTGATCCACCGACATGCTTGCTAGAGCTTTCTAGCAAAATCCCATGTATAATCCATCTAGAACATCAAGATTTCATAATGGGTTGGACTTTAAGTTATGGGCTGGTGTTGTACTTTCAACAAATATAGCAGCAAAACAAGATCATAGTGACCCTAACTTAAAGATACCAAGAAAACATTAAAAATCCAAGCAGTAAGTTCGTAGAGTCAAACCTGAACCGGTGCCCCATACAGTTTCTTATAGGACTTTGCATACTGTGCCTTGGATGAGGGCTTTGTTCTGCTTCTGCCTGCTTTCAACATCTTCGTATATAATAATTACGGTTTAGCGTCCCTTGTTTGTTTAGTGTCCATCTAGTTCTTATTTTTTTA